AAACACAATATAATGTTGAGCTTTGTTAAAAATAACACAATATTACATTATTAAATAATTTACAAATTACAATAATTACAAATTTTGTAAAACCTGATAAATGTTTTAAGTTTACTTATTTAACATATGGGCAAAAAACAAAATTATTTATATTTGTTAATTATATTAATATTTATCCAAGGATATAATTGATGCAATAAAACCTAAAAATACATGCATACAAGTGGACGGCCCGTTGCCTATTATGCATGACTCACCCTTCAGTGAAGACTGTCTGGTGCTTAACATATGGACAACAAATGTAAAGGAATTAAAACCAGTAATGTTTTGGATATATGGAGGGGGACTTACTATGGGATCAATATTTCAAGAGTGGTATAATGGGAGCGCTTTGGCCACAAAGGATGTGGTGGTTGTGTCCGTCAACTATAGGTTAGGAGCGTTTGGTTTTCTATACGGGGATCGGGAGGACGCGCCCGGAAATGTCGGCTTTTATGACCAATTATTAGCTCTCAAATGGGTATTAATTAATCGCTTATTTAAAAATAATTTATATAAATTAATAAAAACATATTATTTAATGACATAATAATAGGTTAGAGAAAACATCCAATCATTTGGCGGAGATAGGGATCAGATCACCATTTTTGGTGAGAGCGCCGGGAGTTGGTCGGTGTCCGCACACATACTCTCCCCGCTATCTAAGGGTATGTTTCAGAGGGCTATTATGGAAAGCGGGGCCACAATGTATAACAAGGAGAGGGTTGCTCTGAACAAAACTGAGGCTATATTACAGTCCAAAGTAATAGCCAAACAATTGAAATGCAATGAAAGCGAGGATTGGATACAATGTCTGCGAAGAGCGGACGCCAGAGATATACTCAAATATTCTGTTGGTTTTTCGACATATCCGGTGTTTGGCACAGAATTTCTGCCCATTTCTACCCAACAGGCGTTAAAAGACAAGAAATTCAACATGGGTAAATTATACATAAAATTTTTAATTTATATCCCATTAATCTATTAAATATAATTATTGAGCCTATTTTTTGTGCCTTCTAATGATGGGGTAAAATATACAAGGCTTTTATCAATGTTTATAAACGACAGTAGTTACGACAGTTTACCTCAATAGTAGTTTAACTATGCTATTAATGTTCTTTATTTCCAATATTGCATAATTTTAAATTATTCAAATAAACAAATAATTGAGGCAGAAAGTTTAAAATAACCTTCATTGTAATTTAACACGTTAACACACTCCAAGTATATTTAATTTTGAAATGACATAGTCCGTAACTGAGATATTTTTAGTGATGTATTATTTTAAATTTAATATTTAATACTTATTTATAATAAGCATTGTCATAATAATTATTTTTTAATACATACTTAACACAATTAGACATTGATTTAATCGCTGGCATTACACACAACGAGGGCTCAATGTTTATTAAGTTCCTAATCAAAGACCCGACGCATATAACGCTCACTGAATTTCAAAACGGAGTAAAGGCGCTAGCTGCATTTGGTTTTTACAATGTAAATGTACAGAAAGTGACGGAACATTACCTGAAAGGTGTCAACACTAGCGATCCGGCGGCTATGCGGACGGCTTTAGGTTCATTAATAGGCGACATAACACTCGGTTGTCCGACATATCT